CTAGCAGACATGATTCCCAGGAGGGAAACATTAAAGTGTATGTTTTATCCCCAAAATAAAACAAAATTAAAAATTAATTTCTAAGGATTCATTTGCCATATTAAAAAATATCATATAATTTCCGACTCCCATTAAAAAAACCAAACAAACATACCTGTTTACAAATGAAACATGTACAGACAATGATTCTGTACATGCAAAAGACCCCTGTTTGGCCACAAACCGTGTCAGGTTCAGATGAGCAAAACAGTTTGCATGTGGGTGTGGAGTTCACCTGTTTGCTTACCCTAACTCCCATTAAAAAACCAAACAAACATACTGTTTAGAAGTGAAACGTGTACAGACAATGATTCTGTACATGCGAAAGACCCCTGTTTGGCCACAAACAGTGTCAGGTTCTGATGAGCAAAACAGTTTGCATGTGGGTGTGGAGTTCACCTGTTTGCTTACCCTCAGGTTAAGAAGAACCTACCCAATTTTTTCTCCTGAACATCTGATTACTTCTGACAGCCATACACCTCAAGAAATGTAAGACACCACTAACCTGTATACTGTAATAAAATGCATAATAAAGTTGGGTTCATAACATGATATCAAATTATAAGCCTAATGAAAGTTAAATTACATAGAATTAATTCTCCTTTTCTTAGATCTTCAATATCAAGAAGATAAAAATCTATTTTCACCCAAATGAATGAAGATTTTCCTACTGACTACAATAGTCACATGCTACTCCTCACTTGCTTCTGACCCAGAAATGATGCCCTTATGCAACATTTTCATTCATGCTGGAAGGACTGTCTGTGTCCTCACTCTGTCCAGGCAGAAAAGGAAAACTCACAGCAGAACTCGGCTGACACACGCTGATTTACAGGTACAAAGTAAGCTGAATGGCACTAACACGGCTTATGTTGAGGGTATTGCGCTGTGCTCTCTCAGCAGTCCTTTACTAGCGGAGCAGAACAGGAGAATTCAAATTGAAAAAAAAAAAAGGACAGGGCACAGTGACAATAAGTTACCATTCATACCCCAGGTCACAAGCCAGGGCTGCCCTTGTGCCCACACGAGGCTCGCAGGCCGGGCCCGCTGCGCCAGCGCCACCTGCCGGGCGCGGGCGGCGCTGCGCGCTCAGCAACGCGGGCCCTGCGGAGCCGCCGCGCGTCCTGCGCCAGCAGCGCCCGCACGGAGCGCAGGGGTGTCCCATCGCTTGGCACACACAACTCCTCCCTGACAGTGCACAATGGAACTGCACTGTTAAGCCTCTCTTCTATTACGTCTCTGCAAAATCCAGAATTACAAGAATCTGGGCAGATGGAAGGTTACACACTGAAGTAATACCTAAAAAAACCACCAAAGTTACAGCTTTCCTTAGTGCAAACTGCAGGAATTTGTTTCTTACAGCAAAACCTGGAATTCAACCTGGTCAAAATAATGTGTGTAGGCTCCTTCATATTTGTGAAGGAGAAAAGAAAAAGTGATTGCTTAACATTCCATTTAAAAGATTGCCCTGAAAAATACCCCCACACAACACTGCTCAGCAAATTGTTTTGCTAACAACTCAGAAGAGCATAACATCTTATCTTCCTTCCAGCATAAGCTCAGTCTGACTTCAATGTAACAGAATCCCAGATCTCACACTAAGGCTTCATTCTACTGGTTAAAACATAAATGTAGTAAAAGAAATAAATCTTGTTTAATCCTACTGAAGGGTAATGTTCCAAAGTTCTTCTATTTTAGAAAGTAATTCCAGCTGCATTTATCTACAGCCTAAATTGTAAGATGTTTTAATGGTTAAAATCTGTCACTGCCGTATTAATTATTTTCACGCTCATGCAGGACATTGACTGTTACTGTCTCAGTCCTTGCTTTAGTATAATTTTGTAGCTGTTTCAACAAAACTCACTGTATTTCCCCCTCATGCCCCAATATCGAGGCAGAAGTTGAGATGATTAAGGCCAAAATTGTCACCAGTGACCAATCCAACGAAACTAACTTTTCCATGATGTAACTGGTTCCTACACCTCTTTGCTTCAATATAACTTCTGACAAATTTGTCCCCGGAAGTGAATACAATGAAGCCAAAAAAAGAAATGCCAGGTCACAGATACAACACTTAGGAACGAGACACATTTAACAGCCACCTGTGGAAAACTGGTTAGTATGAGCAGCAAATACCATAAGGGTGAGCTGGAAAACAGAAGACAACAAGATTTTTTGAGCAATGAAAAGGACTGCTGGCAGAAACACACTCATCACACCCACCTATAATCTTAAAATCTGGAAATTGTGTAGGCACTGAGGTTATAAGCCAAGCTAACATTTAATGACTGTCTTTCAGCAGAGATCATTATCTGAGAGCTGTGTCAGCCAGAAGCCATCTATTTGTGCTTAGCAGAATGCATAAACAGAGAGAACCTGGGCAAACATCTCCCCAGCTGCTATTTGGCTTCATGTCGTCACAGTTGCTTCTCCAAGCAACAGAGGAGAAAATGGAAGACTACTGAAAACAAAGTCCAGTAAGCAACTGTGGAAAATTGCCAGACTTATTATGTCAAGACACAGAGATGCTGTGAGTTTGTGGAGAACTCATGAGATTGTTTGAGCAAAAATGTGAGCTGAGCCACTTGATTACCTTGCGCTAGGCTGGAGCAAGACTTAACAGCTGAATGATGCATGGGGTGAGGTCGAGGTCTCACAGCCCAGTGGTGTCTCAGTGAAGCACAGGAGTGCACCCAGACCTCGGTATCAACCTCACTCCACCTTATCCCTGCCCAACCAGCCTCTGTTACAAATCTGTTCCTTTGGGAAGATAATGATGAGAGGTTGTAACATGCTGACAGGAGTAATCCTGTTACAGCCTTCACTGCTCCCTCACCTGGGTGGAGAATGATGCTGAACTGTTAGGGATCTGTGCTGCCTTTGTTACCACCAGTTCAGCCAAAGGTATCAAAAATAATTAATATATTGAAAAATGCACCCAGCAATATGAAAATGAGAAAAAAGCTTCTTCTCCACCAACTAGGACCACAGCAACTGGTAACCAATTATATTTGACAATAGTTACACTTCCATTTTTCCAGAAAGTCTAAAACTGATATTTGAAATCCTCCATTTTTAGAGTATGAGAACATGACCTTCATAGACAATGGCCTTGCTCCTCTCTCCCTTCCCCAAAGCAGGGATGACTCTTTGGTAAGATTGGTGCCTCTGGCTGCATCAAGAGCATAGCTGGGAACAGTTATACAACATTTTGTAGATCTACTGCGTTTATCACCAGCAATCTAACAAGAGTCAATGATCTGCTGCTTCAATAAAGTACATTATTTGTGAATCTGGAATTGTAAAAGTTCTTACTGAACATAACCAGCCATAGTGCCTGACTGGTTATAATCAGAAATTAAGCCAAGCTGCACTCAGCCCCTCTGATCTCTGAGGAGTAGCTGGAACACAAGGGGGTTTATTTTCTACCAAATTTCATATGCTTACTGCAAGAGCAACTGACTGGTAAAATTACATAGAACTTCCTTGTTAACAAGTGAAGACCAAAATTGCTGCATCCTCACTGACAAATAGAGATTTCAATTAGGAACTTTCAACAGGAAAAAACCTTTCCCAGCCAGCTGGGTTACATTACTGGACTCAGAAACATGCCTTCAAATGATCTCAGCTGACTTTTTTACTGTGGTTTGCAGACCTGCTTGTTTGCCACTCATCAGTAGGTGTTAATTCAACTTCTAAAAATGGAGAAATAAAGAAAAGTCAGTGAATAAGGGGCTGGAATTTTCTGACAGTCATAGCATAGACGCCTACAAATGGTAGTGAAGCTGACCAAAGACTAGTAAGACACCAGAAGAGGGGAGAAATAAAAAAAGAAAGACATCTGTCAACCTCATGGACTCTGCATGTGAGCTGTGTCCCAAACAGTTATCATGAGTAGACAGAGCAAGGAGCGGCAGAATTGAATCCTGATGCTACAGGACATTATGAGGGAAGCATGACAGAGCTGTAATTTATATTCATGCCACACCTGTAAAATTTAAGAGTGAGAAACTAAAAATCATTTAGTTTTGTGTAATTGCTGTCCAGCCCCATGAGTTTTCAGAATGTCCTTTTCCTCCTCATGAACTTGAGACATTGTGTTTTTTTTTTTCACATTATACAGTCTTTTTTTCCTCCTCATGAACTTGAGACATTGGTTTTTTTTTCACATTATACAGTCTTCACCAATTGGATACACATTCTTATACGAATAAATCTTTTTCAATCACCAATGTTATAATTGCAGTCACTTCCTTTTATGTTTTGTGCTCTCAGTGCTCCTTGGTGCTCCTCAAATTTCTGCAGAATTGCACAACTTTTCTTCAATCCCTTCCACAGATTTCTCTATGAGATTCTGTGAAATGTCTACCCCTCCAGCAAAGCATGAGTCACAGCCTTGATCACACCAGTACTTACACTGAACACAAATAATCTTCATGCAGCACTCCTTGCTGTTATAAGTGCACTGGTTTTGTCTTATTTGTGCTCATTCATTTGTTGCCTCTTAGGAAAGGGAAAAGAGAAAGCCCCCATCCTTTTGTGCTAAGAGAGAAGATTCTGTCACAACTGCCTTGTAGTCTATGGCAGAAACCTCTTTCTTCTATTTCCACGCAGTGTAGGAAATTATGCCTAATGTTTTCTGCTTTTTTAAGACCCCTGACTTTTACCAAGAAAAAAATAATTTTTCCAACCACTTATCCCTATTCTGTAAATTTTAATATATTTTATTTTTATCTCTTGACCTCCTTTGTTGTTAAATCAACTTGGTAAAACTTTGCCTTCTCCAATGTTCCTTGAACTTTAGCTATATTTACAGATAAAGGATAAAAGCAAAACACTGTACTTCTGAAGTTCATAGGAAAACAAATTAAAAGCAAGTGAAACAAAACACAGAGACTTCTAAAACTAGAACAACATAAACACGAAATAAAGCACAAATGACAACATTAGGTGGAACTCACCCTGCCTGTGGGTTCATCGTTCCCAGTGAGTTTTTATGAGCTGGTGATAACGTCTGAATTTTGCTTCCACTGGATCCAGATGAAGACAGTGTTTTACTTGAAGAGACACCTTGCAGTTGAAAAGCAAGCATAAAAATATAAGAAAATTTAAGATTTTTCTGCTGAAATGATACAATTTATTGAGAAACATTTTCATTGCAAAATTCAAAACAAGAGTTTTAGAAATACAGAGATATGAGTCAGTATAAGACAAGACAAAAAGAAAATGTTTCAAGATATGTATAAGAAATATGTAATTGAGACATAGTATTTTATTCTAAGAAAACATGCTGTATCTCAATTACTTTGCTCAGGAATAAAAGGGAAAGAAAAGTCAAAGTATGTACAAACAGAACATGTTTGATATCCGACGATATCTGAAACCTAAATTAGACTGCTGTTTGCATAATTCTAATATACATGCCTTGACTACATATGTTCACCAATTTATGATCACATTCAGCAGAAAAATTAAGTTACAGAATTAAGCATGAGAGAAATCAGTATTTGATACAATCATGCATTACTACCCTGAATGATTTTTCATCTAAAATTAAAAAAAAAATTGACCTGATATATAAACCGGAATCCTAAGAGCTCGGGAGTCTCTGTAGATAGATGGCAATCAGTGCCCCTTCCAGATTTATTTTAAATGAGATTTTACAAACCACTATATCAATTTTATATCAGTAAAAATCAATTTTTACTGCATAGTTTGAGAGTTATTATTTAGAAAGGACATGGAACAATTCATAACATTCATTTCATACCTACAACAGTTTTGCTAACACCACTTGGCTGCGGTAAGCGTGATGATGGTGATGGTGTTGATCCTACAGAAGGCATCTTCTTAACTGGAGCAGGTTTGTACTGTAACAAAATACAACCTAGAAATTTAAGCAATTAAATCAAACTATATATAACTATAAATCAAACTATTTATATAACACAACAGGTAATTCTTTCAGGTACTGTGGGAGAACAGAGGATGACTTCCTACTAAGTAACCTGCTTCTGGTATGGGAACATGCAAAATGGTTTCTGATAGTTTGTTTTCTAATACTTACAGATGATGCTGGCAGGAAACACTCCCTAACTTAATGGCTTTATTAAGATTAAAAGTAACATCTCATTATCAATTAATTTAAAAGTGAATACTCAACAGTAGAATTATTTTTGTCTTTCAAATCCAAACCTTACTTTCACCTGTGTGGTCTGGACCAGTCCCTGCACTAATTCAAAATACTGTGTAATACACCTGAGGCCCTCTAAAGCCTCTAATTAGCCACAATACTCCTGTCAGTTATCCTGTAGTCAGGTACCTTTGTTTGCCCCTTAAGCAAGTCTTCAACTGAATTTAGAAACTAGCACAACAGAAATTCAAATTCCTCTACAAAAACTGCATCTCTATTTCCTCCTGCTATCTTTACCTGCCATTTGCACACTTCTCAATTGCATTTATGGCTGGTTTTCATTTTGCAACTGCTGCCATCTGACTTACATATCTCTGCAGTTTAAGAAAGCAAAAGCCTCATCCATGCTGGTGTCTAATTTCAGTGAGTGCAAATAATAAAATTGCAGAATAGTTCTTTTTAGAAGTAACACACTATTTAACAAGATTGATTTGACATTGAATGCAAGTTTTGAGTTAAAAAAAGTGTTATAGCTCACCTGTGTTCGAGTAGGAACCTTGCCTTTGGTATCAGCTGCCAATTTCCCCTTATTCGTAATACGTGCAGCTTGCTCCTTACAGAAATTGATGTGCCTGTCAGCTGCATTTTCATTAAATCTCCTCTGACAGTATGGACACTGAATGTAATCTTAAAAACATAGAAATAAATTATTAAATAAAATAAAAATTAAAACATAAAACATTAATTATCTGTTTTAAAAATGACAGTGTTTTAAAGTATTTTAAAGACCAGCCTCCCCTCCAGGGGAAATTATGCATCTTTTTCAATCTGAAAATGAAATACAGATTGCCAGCTAAATGCATATTCTCATTTGATGGCTCAGAGTAGCTGAGGATTAGAAATAACTTAAGCAAAATGAGAAACACTTTAAGTGATGCTATTCTGCAGAGAAAGCAGCCAAAGAGGTAAAGGGATGTGGCACAGAGATCAGCTGGAAGGAAGTAGAGAAGAAGCTAAACAAACAAACAATGAAAAATTTTCAAAAAATCACAAACAGTTCAGTTTGTTCAAGATATGGGAATACATTACAACCTTTCCCACACAGGCAGCAGAAGACAACAAATCTGTTTCCTCTGACAAATTTGAAAGAACTGAGAAATACTAACTGCAATACTGGAAGTGATCACTATAAAAAATATCAGAAATTTAACAAACAAAAAGAATCAGAAGAAAATCAGCCAAAATAAGGAGCTATCTCTAAAGACATGCAAAAGAAAGTAACTGGTGGCCATGTTACTTCTGCAAGATGAATTCAGTCACATTGCAAACAGTATTACATACAGTAAATATTACTCTCATTGGGGAAAAACAGAAAGGGCTACAGAAATGCTTAAAATATTAAAAGATACATCATCTATATGCTGGAAATACACACCTTAAAATACAGTGCCCTTGGAAAATTATATGTTTGGACTACAGTTTCAGACAACTGTGTATTTCAGTGCCCAGAGATGTTAATGCTGTATGCCCCAGATTAGAGCATTCAAAACCATGCAAGCATCAAAAAAGCTTGACACCAGCAAAGCAGGTTAAATTAGTGTGTTTCTAGGTCATTTTCGAAATGTGTTGAAGAAAATGAGATGAAATTCAACCTCCAAATTACAATTAGATATCATAAAATCTTAAAATAAGTTTTGGATTACATGTTACTAGTCCAAATGCAGTAGATCAGGCTTAAATATTTGTCCCTTTGCAAGCATCAAAAAAGCTTGACACCAGCAAAGCAGGTTAAATTAGTGTGTTTCTAGGTAATTTTAGAAATGTATTGAAGAAAATGAGATTAAATTCAACAGTCACTGCATCCAAAATTACAATTAGATATCATAAAATCTAAAATAAGTTTTGGATTACATGTTACTAGTCCAAATGCAGTAGATCAGGCTTAAATATTTGTCCCTTTAAATATTTATAAACAGTTTTGAGTAAGTTAAATGATGTAATGGCCACCAAAGCATGAACTGTGACCCAAGAAGTGTGAGCTAAGAACAGAGGAAGAACACAGAAGTGATAGCATGGGAATCTCATGGGGTAACAACAACATTTTTTAAATTTTTTTATTTTACATATACTCTGCTACTGTCAGTATACTTGAACATCAACTACATCTTAAGATACAAAAAATCAGAAACAGAACTGTAATAGCTATGTAGTCAAATCTAAATTATTCTAAAGAAACTTAAGAAAAATAAAGCAGCTTTGAAAGCCCCTAGATAATACACCACTTCTGGCTAGTGCAGAGCTCAGTTCCCACAGAAAACTTTCAAAGCCCACAAATGTATCACACTAGAGAGGATGAATGTATACTTTTAGGAATCAGGAACTGTATCTTCATCCTTTTGTAAAACACATAGTGCCAGTCAGACACTTGGCTCTCTGAATGTACTGCTCATACTGTCCAGAAGAACGTCTAGGATTCAAAGTAAGATTTATAAAACAAATCAATCAAAATAAGAGGGCAGTACACACATGCAGTCAAGCTCAGGGTGACTTAAGGTTCTTCTTAACCTGATGCTGTTCTGCACTTCCTCAGAAAAAGTGGCAGAGGAGATGAAAGAAGCAGCAATACTTTCCAGCTCAGAGCAGTTAAGTAGAAAATACAAATATGAGACTTTCTATGAAAATGAAAAAGACTTGCTGCTTGTTAGAAACAAGTGTGCCCAAGACAGAGCTGAGTAGGAGAGGATGGATACACACAGTACGTTCACAATCTTCCCACTCCTACATGACAAGTAGAAAAGGAGTATCAGTTGCTGCTCCTGCTCTATTTGTAGGAGGAGTATACACTGATCTTTTTGTGCATGGTCTCTTCATTCCTGATTTCCTCTTCCTAAGTCTTACCCACTGCAGTAGGACTGAAGCAAGGAGACTAAAACTAACTACAACTAGATAATTCCTGCTCTATTTGTAAGAAGAGTATGCACTGATCTTTTTGTGCAATGTGCAAATCATTCCTGATTTCCACTTCCTAAGTCTTACCCACTGCAGTAGGACTGAAGCAAGGAGACTAAAACTAACTACAACTAGATAAATTATAGATATGCTACACAGATTATTAATGATTCTTTCCATGATCAAGCCTTGTGATTCTTACCCACAGCATTTGATATTGGCTTTAAGATGGCTTTATTTTTTAAAATTAGCTATATGGGTTTTCAGGATTGTGAGTACAGAATGCTGAATAATACAGCCTCTTAGAATGAATGCATCATTACAATCCTAATGCTGGACTAACACATCTGCTGCACAGAAATAGGGTAGGCAACACTTCACATCCTCCCTTGACCACAGAGACAGGCAGAAGCAAACACATGTTTTCCCAATCCTTCTGAAAATAGCCATTCAGCTAATCAAATGTGTAACTCTTAGGACAAGAGGAAGAAATATATTCTTCAATCCCTCATCATATGCCGGAAGTTAAATGAAAAGTGTATTTCCTTCTCATTCACATCAGACTGCTCGAACACTTTACCCACTCTCAGTTCAAAGATACCCAAGGACTGTTCTGCCCTTGCCAATATGAACTCCACACATCTCACATATCCAAAACACAAGTACCAACACCACAAGAGGCATTGAGGCATACACTGTATACATGAAACCAAATGTGAATTCAGAAATGGGAGAGATAACATCTGAAGAACACAAAAGTGTTACATTCCCACAATGTAAATATGTTATGGGTGTCAGCTAATCAAAAAGGCAATCTGTTACTGTTGGGAGCACAAACAAAGTATTGAAATAATTTGTCCAGCCTATGGTTTACAAGACAGTAATTGGCCCCAGCTATCTTTTCACACATTAAAAACAAAGTCATGGGCTTTGAAAGCTACACAGGATGTGAGCCAGCCAGACCCAAAGTCACAATCCAGCACCTGCTCAGGGATAGTAAGTCATCTTCAAGAACTTGTGAATGCTGCATTCCAACAAATTTCTTTTCAATTCAAACTTCTTCATATTAACTTAAAGAAGAATCTCTAAGGAACTTGACTGTTTTACATACCAGGGTCATATGATGGTGGAGGTGGTGGAGGGAGTTTTCCACCGTCTTTAAGATTAAGTCCTTTGGCTGCTCGTATAGTTGCTATGAATTCCTCATGCTTTCGTCTCCAGTTAGAAGGTTTTTTGGGTGGTTCTGGCTAAGAGGCAAAAAAGAAGGCTTTGAAGTTTTTACTTCAAGCTAAGTATGCACCTTATTTTAGTACATAACATCATAGTTAAGATTTCTTTCAAATCTTAGTTGATCTAATTAACACAAACTGCCAGCAGAAATAAGCCTTATTAAAATGCATATATAGTATGCCTAAAATGGTCATATTCAGAGTAAATTACCACATACCCGTGGCTTAAGAGGTTTTACTGTGGGAATGTCAGTTCCTTCTGCTCTCTGTCGGCTGGAATCAAATGTCTTCCTTTTCTTGGTAGAAGTTTTTTGGCAAATGGGTCCATGCTTTTTCTGAAAGCAGAAGCAAAATAAAAGGAGAATGCAGAACTTAGTTTTGAAAACAGAACTTATTAACACATTATTTCCCTCTTTCTTGATTAAAAAGAACTAGCAAAAACCCCCCAACTCTTGATGAATAAGCTGAGACTGTTTTGCCTCAAACATTTATGCCTGCCACTACCTTTAAAACAGAACTACAGGAATTCACTGATGTATACAGAGAGTCACAAAAACACAGGTGATAATGAAGAAAAGTTGAAGGCATCTACATTTGCCCCTTGTATGTAAAAAAACCTGATGATAGGTAGGCAGCTTTTGCACTGAGTAGCAAAACAAATCTGTGTCTGAAATTCATATTCACATTTAAGGACAGACCAATTTCTATTAACAAATGGAGAAGAGAATTTTGGAAATGGCAAACAAAACACTTAATTTACTAGCTGAGACTTAAAACTGCAGAAGACAAGGATTGATTCTGTAACCCTAGAAAAGATGCTTTTAGAGGCATGTATTTCAGAAAAGTATGAAATCTTAAAACAAAATTAAACCCCTTCTAAGGAGCTTAAAACCTGAGACAACTGGAATCAGTAATTACTTGGGGGGGGGGAAACAAAACCCCAACCAAAACAAAGCCCCTAGGTCTATTTTATTTAGCTATACTGAGCACTGCTTAACTTTCATATCAACTTATCAAATCTAAATGCCAAGAGGCCTCACACTACTCACCAGTGCTGCAGGAAAGAAAGTTCTTCCACAAATCTTACATGGCAACAGATCTCCAGTTTGCACTGTAACCTCACCTTAAAAAAAAAACAACATACTTCTTTAAGAAAATTTGATTAAATTAATGACAAAACATTATTTCAAAAATGTGAACCTCATATACACTTAGCCATAATAACAGTTGTTACTGTAAAGTATACATCCTTTGACTTGTGCAGAGGCTATGCAGATGAGAAAGGCAAAAAATATACCAAAGTCCTTAGGTACTTTTGGAAGCTGTCAGGCCCAGCAACATGTTACCAGCAAATCTGTTTATTTGTAATACATAACTCCACTCCCTTAAAAGGATGCATATAAATATGGAAATTAAAAATCCCTTGTAAGTCCCAATGACAGCTCAAATACACACCAAGAATAAAGCTATTTAGTGGGTATTTCTGTGTCTTTGGAAAAGATCATATTTAGTATCAAATATAGAAAAGACACATTCCATTATTTATTTTGCTGTATCAAGATAAACTATCCCACTTTCTCTTGTAAAGGAAACAGTCTTGATGCCATTTTTACTATATATTTTATTCAGATTATTACTGATGGCTTACAGAAGTATTTCTGATGTTGCTATTTAAGCATTGGTAACAAAAATGTAAACAGCATATTTGACATACAGCAGATCCACAGAACCAGACAGAAGACCAACAAGTCAAAGTATCAAGGCCTATGCAAGCAAATATATTTATATAGCATGCATTATGCAATAGAGTTGTGGCAGAGATGAAAAACTGCAGTGTTTCCCAATAAAAGGCATCTACTATATCTAGTACTATACCAGAGGAATACAGGGATATTTTTATATCATGTATATATCAAGAAAGAAGCAGTAGATTTGGATTATGTTTGAGATGTACTAGTAGCTTTCTCTGTACTCAATCTGACTATTGCAGACAATACAACTGCCTCTATTTACACCCCATTAAAATGAAACCACTTCGAATTTACTTGTATTTTAGGCGAAGCAGCATCTTAAACTAACAAAGTTACCAACATAGCAATCTTCAATCATTTGATCAGCTTTTGCTCCCAGCTTCCTAGTGGAAACCTGTTTTCCATCTAAACATACACACTTGCTAACTAAAAAAATAATTTAATGAAATATTTCACAGCAAACAAACAGATTCAGGCAGCCATGGTTCCCACTGAAAACCTTTTTTGCCCAAATGCAAAGATTAAAACTGAGTGAAATGTGTATCACCAAAAAGCAATTATTGTCTATTTCTGATTTTTTTCAATTATTTAAAGCAAGTTCACCCCCAGTAACTAACTGCATGCAATATTGTATGAACATACTATGTTCATAACAATAGAGCATAACAATGTTGTATGAACATACTATGGAGCACAGTACATTTTAAGAATCATAAATCACATGAAAAGTGCAGTTCAAAACATTTAGTTCATACCTTTAATTAATTTATGCACCTTTTCCATGCAGATATGATTATGCCTCTCCTTACCACAACACAGCAGGACTGCACTGACAGTAAACAGCTTTACAAATGGAATTCATAATCAAGTTTCCTTTTGTGCCATCTAAATATTTGTGCATTTAGATGCACGCAAGTACACGAAGTAGGAAAAATGCAAAACATGCAGATGAATCTTGATTTTTTTCCTATTCTTGCATTTGAATTGTGTTTGAATTGTGATAAAGAAATTTGGATACTTTCAAATTGAATGTGATAAAGATTTACTAGGAACTTGGTTTTTAACTGTATTTTTTCACATTCTTTTTTAAAAAATCATGTCCGAAAATTTTTCCATAGGTCTGTTTTCTTAAATCCACAAGCCTGAGCACATGAACATTGGTACAAAGCTTAGATTTAGATGGCAGGGAACCTGCCCTCACCACTGCTCTGAAGGGTAAGCAGCAATGGTTGCAACCATCAATTACTCCACTCAAAAATGCAAAAAAAATATGCACAGATTTGTTTATTTCATGACTACATTCTTCAGAGTCCCTAGCACTCTTAATAATGACAACCTACATCACCCCAAACTCACTTCTGCTAAAGAGTTCAACTTCTTTTTATGACATCATTCTGATACAATCCTCAGCCTTGCAGAAACAAGTGAGAGAGGCATTTCCCAAAAATATGAAGTCACACTATTTGTGTCTTCAATAAATTAGGTGAAATAAATCAGAATTAGTGATCTTGACAAGGTCAAGAATTTGGCTGAGAATTCTTTCAAATATCTGCCTTAGTAAAAGAAACTACATGTCCCACAGTTTTCTTCTGTATTCTAGAATTTGAGCTGGTGTTTAAATTCCACATGAAAAGAAGCAGACTTGATAGCTGCTGACCTGAACGAGCAGTATTTACACACGACAAACCAAAGCACAAGGAATGCCAACTGCCACTTAGAGCAGCTGCAGTTACAGACCTGGATTTCCTTAGAGCACCCCCACCCTCCCCTGCTGCTGGCAGGTAATCACATCTGCCTGGAGCTACTTCCACTGCCAGCACCTACTGTGTAACACAAATCACTGACCCAAAGCACATAAGGAAGTTATTTTTAAAAAATGAGAGTTCCTGAAGTTTTGTTGAAAATGAGAAGCCAAGTGTCCTTTATGAAGGGGCACACACACCCCTTTAGCTTCTTAATTCCTCTGTGATTTTCCTCATTTTTAAAGTTAAAAAAAAAAAACCAAAAAAAAAACCAAAACCTAACAAACCACAAAACCTTAACATTTCTTTCTAGGAGTCTCTCATTTTTAAAGTTAAAAAAAAACCAAAAAAAACCAAAACCTAACAAACCACAAAACCTTAACATTTCTTTCTAGGAGTCTATGAGTCTTCCCTTACAGAAGGGTAAGCAATGCTATCCACATGAAATCTGGTTACTTAAAAGTAAGACATGGGAATAAAATTGTGTAAGCTGCAATTGACTTAATTTTGGCTTTATTTTTTAAAAATACATTAATGTGTGATATTTTTCCTGATTTTTTTTCCTGAAAAAAGTTAACCAAAATGGTTTGTTATCTGGGATGTACTGCAGGGAGGAGGCTAAAGGAAAAAAAAAAAACACACTCAAATCAGGAAACAGAAGGAGGACACGCTTGAGAAATTGGTCTGAGAATAGAAATTGGTAGTAAGACAGTGCCATGGCAATTTTCTTCAGTCTGTAAGTTTAGCAACAATGCAGGACTTTTAAAAATCATTTTGGTTATACAGCAGCTATATCTATTTTCCTTTTTACCAACTTTAATACCACTAATCACCAACAGTTTAGATTCTTGTACTAACATGAATTAATATAGTTAACTTGGAGAAGGATTGAAATAATTATTACTGTTTATCTAATCAAAACACATCTAGAGAAAAGATAAATATGATCAGAATTGTAATGTGACCATAGAAGTGGTATTTCAGCAGAAGTGATGCCAGATCTATGATACAGAGCTTTACATCCTATTCTACTGCCTCCCTGAGACCAGGTCTCAGACAAAAACAGAGTGTACAACCTAGTATGATGCTGGGTATCTGACTTAACCAGACTGGAAGCTTATTAGCAGGACTACAACAATCTTATTGTTCATGCTTGTAAAATGTCCTTCTCCTCCAGCTCTACTTCCAAATCACTGGGTTTGTACCTACACGAGTTACTGCTCACATCCCTTCTGAGTACGGTTACAGCCTGCTTGTACTTTCTGATCCTGAAGTTAGGAGTTTAGCTGTAAAGTCTGGGTGGAGCACTAAGTCTAACAGTACAGCTATACAGTCTCCAGAAGTTTCATGGTGCTTTCAGTATTATAGATAAGTTTAGACTTCTTTGAACCTGGATTTCAAGAGAACGACTTCTTTCTTTCTTTTTTCTCATATTCAAATAGCACAATTGATTTACAGCAGAAAGAGCAAGCTACCAGATCTATTTATCTTTCTCAGTACAATGCGTGGACCCATCAATACATACAAGCTTGATCTGACACAGTCGCAGCCATAGCTGTCACAGTCACTTGTTCTTGCTGTCATGTTCACAGATAAAGCAGTTGTGTAAATAGACTTCACACTTAGAGGGAGCAGGAGCCTCCGGTATTGCTGAATAACTTAAGTTTTGTTACACTTTTTTATTTTGGAGAGCTCCATATACCCAAGTATATAGAGCTACGTGGGGTGCACATAGATACAAATTGCAGAAACAAGACTGCACTTTGTAACAGTATTTAATCAGGTTGTAAAATCTGACTGCCCTCCAAAACCTTTTATTTCTCAACAGCAGTGACAGTACTAAACTATTTAGGCCAGAAACCTTTGGTAATCAGAATCATCAAGCCTCTCTGAATTCAAACATGCAGAAACAGCCTGGTACAATTCCCTGCCTTGGGACCAGGTACCTATTTAAAGCCAGCAAGTAATCTGCAAATGTTGAAAGTCAGCACTTGAAGAGCACTTGCCAAATTCTTCTACAAAACTGTATTTATTGCTTTTAGCATAACTCCATTCTCATCTCCAAAACCACGGTATTTGTAACGTAAGAGTTCCACATATTTATGGTACAATAAAAAAATGCTCATTCCCCATATTAGTTAGAATCTGTATCATCAAGGCACAACATCTGGTTCTTTGAGGACTGCCCAGTCTCTAACATATGTCCAATAATCAATAATGACTGGGTTATATTTTTTTAATTAACACACTAACTAACCATAGCCTAACCAATGGTAAATACCACATGCAAGGGTCACCTAAAAATGATACCAATGCAGTGACACAGGTAGGAACACTTCACAGAACCATGGAATGGTTTGGGTTGGAAGGGGACCTTGAAGATCACCTAGTTCCAACTCCCCTCCTGTGGGAAGGAACACCTTCAACTAGACCAGGTTGCACAGACCTCTGGACATTCCTTTAAATTAGAGCATTAATTTTTTAAAGCAGTTTTGCAGAGAATTAAATAACATAATGAAAATAGGAATGCACCAAAGTAGGAAAAAAGTATTCTAATAATGATTGAAGCTTTGCAAATTTGCATTATTTTGCCAAAAGAAATTTTAAAATGAAAACGCAACTAAGGCAAATAC